TGGCCTTTCTTTGCGTGAGATACAACATTCTTTTTTTCTCTTTCAATCGAAGTCAGACACAAAAATCTCAGCAAGTTCATTTTACGTGGTGGGGAGAATGGTTAGTGAGAGTCTATTATCAACTGATACTTGATTCCAAAGACATTGAAAAAAAAAAAGGCAGGATCAGTTACAGTCTGCAGGCTAGCGAGCTTTTCCAGGGGTAGCAGTATTCCTCCTTGCCAATGATTTGGGACATGCATCCTGTAGGAAGATCTGATGCCTGTGTCCATGACTAAGTTTGCTCTGTTCATGCTTTGGGCTTCGCTGGCCTCTGTCACCTTTTCCACCTGGTTTTCTCCCATCACCAAGATCACAAAAGAGCTTTGGAAATGGGAGAAGGCATGATTCGATTCTCATAATGTTTTCTTCTCTGAAATCACAGGTGGCCCTGCTGGAACCTGACAGTGGTAAGTATTCTGTACTCTAGAGTCACGCACTTGTTGGAACAAGGTGGAAAACGGGAAAAGTGGGGCTTTATTGCAGGCTCAATGTTGAGAGCTGCCCTGATCCCAGGTCCTGCTGGAATGAGAATAAGGGTCCAAGTACCAGAAAGGGATTTTCCGGGTAAAGACCCGTGGCCACATGGCACTGTCCCCGGAAGCTACTGTGCTGCCCTTAGGTGGTATAAGTTTGTGTGTGGCAGTAGGTGTGTCTACATGTGAATCCATGTGCTGTGATTCTCAGGGTTTGTGTGTGTGCGTGTGTGTTAGTTTGGCGAGTGGTGTGTTCCCCTAGGTGTATGTTTCCTTAAACACTGCAATTAATGGTGCCCAATTTCTCAATGAAATTTCCCATCACCATCAAATCATGAATGTATATGCATGTGAAAACACTTCAACATGCACAATTTAAATATGTGTTACTTCCTTGCAAATACACATCAATTCACCTGGAAAACAAACCTCCTCCCTAACTAGGAAGAGAATAACCACAGATTTGTGTTTCACAATCTGTGTTCCTGAGTCAGCGTCCATGAGACTCTCACCTCATGGCAGGTCGCGTGGCATGAATGGTCATGGTCCCCCGCTCTTGCCACTTCACTCACACACAATGCTCTTCTTTGGAGGCCCCACAGTGAGTCTTCCCACCCCAGTATGAAGCACTGAGTGCCGGAAGTAAGCCATGTGTTCATCTACTGATAAGCTGGTAGTCTGTGCTCTATTCATGCAGTGTAATCCAACAATAACATAGCACGGATTTCAGAAACATGCTACCGTGTGGATGACTGTAGAAAGTACATGAAATGAAAAAGGAGTCACAAAATACCACCTATTGTACGATGCCGCCTGTCTCAAGTGCCCAGAAGGCAGATCTATAGAGAGAAAGTAAATGAGTGTTTGCCTGGGGCAGAAGGGTGCTGGTGACATGGGGGGTGTATCCCAAGGTACAGGGTCTCCATTGGGGGTGATGAAACTGTTCTAAAATACGATTTGAGATGGATATACTAAATATACTATGATATCTTATGTATAAAAATATATAAGAAATGTAAAATATATAAAATAAAATAAGTATATGAAAATAGCATATGCTGAATATGCTAAAAACCACTGAATTGTAAACTTTAACTGGTGAATTGTATGGCATATGAATTCTCTCTCCCAACATGCTTACATATATTTAAAGAATCAGCACACGATTCTGAATGAATGTCAGGACCACTTTACCATTGATATCAGTTTGTGAGTGTTCAAATATCACTGAGAAGCTCACGTTGGCCAAGCACAGAAACAAATTCCAGATGCGCTAAAGACTTGACAGATACCATGGAACTATGACAATTTGGAAGACAATCCGGGTCCTCGTTGGGCTCCTGGACAGGAAGCGGAGACGCCGCAGAGCGACAGGTTTGACCACGCCATTTTAGCAAAGGAAATTCAGGGACAGACAACAGAACAGAGAAACCACGGGACCCAAGTCGGGTCAGACGTTACATCCCTGATGTATTCAGAGCTCTCACCTATCACCCCCAGGACGCTAAGCCCCACGAGAAACAGCGCCGTGTACAATCACAGGCATCTGATGGCACAGTAGGGATGAAAGGCTTGCGGACCAAACGCCAGGGAGATGTATTCTCACCTAACAAATCAGGCAAGATGGAGATGTGGAAGCAGAGAGGCCACGAGACCCGCATCTTGGTCCCCAGGGCACGACGTGTCAATGACTTTCAGTTTCTCCAAGCATAAAACGCTCACATCCTCTGAGCCAGGGGGTCTGCTTCTAGCATTTTCTCCCAAGGAGAAAATGAGACAGGTTGTAAGGGATTTGCAACGCTGTTCACAGAGGGTTTATTTATGAGGGCAAGGCCATACACACGGTGTCCCTGACAGTATCTCCCACCCAGGTGAAACAGGAGGAGTAACCCCAAGGGTGGTTTCCGAAGGTTCCCCACCACCTGAACTCAGCCCCACATTGGTACCACCTCCCTCATGCAGGGGAGGCAGCCCCTGGCCTTGGCCCCCCATTCTTTCTGCACCAGTGAGCCGCACTTGCCCGCTCCCCCAAACTGCTCCTCTGGGGAAATTCTGGAGCCCCTGCAGCTGACTCTGTGGGCTATGCAGCGTGTCCCCTCAATCTGGAGCCAGACTGCAGTCTCCCGGCCCCTGGCCAGGCTCTGAACATCAGGGTTGTCTGGGCCAGTACCTCAGGCCCAGGCCGAGCACTTGGCTGCCTCGGTCACTTCCTGGGCCAAGACTGCTCCTTGCTGCCAACACCCCCTTGGGTCAGAGCTTTCTAGGGGTTGACACCGGTTTTCCTCTCCTCTGCCATGACTATCTCGGTTCTGTAGATGGGCCCGTCTGAGTTGGGAGAGGGAGCACATTCTGCCTTTAAAACTGGGCTGATGCCAGAGGGGAAGCTGAGCTAGGGGTGGTCAGGGGCTGCTCACCCTGCCCCACCCCTGGAGTGCAGATGGACAGACAGCTGTCCGTGCGTCCCTGGGCCAGGCGCCAGGCCAAAGACCTCTCATTCTTCGGTCTCACAGAATTTTCACTGTGACCTAGGACAGAGGTGCCTGGGCCTGCTGCCTCAGGAAATCAAACCCCAGTTCACCAAGGCCCCAGGGTGCAGGAGGAGCCTGCACCCCACCTCAAGGCCAGACCCCCGGCTGCAGCCTCCATGGCTCCCCCTTCCCAGCTGGATGCAGCATCAGCTCAGCGCTGCTGGAAAATACCCATGCACCAGTGTTCACAGCAGCTCTCCTCACAGAACCCGGCTGGCCAGGACAAGCCACGTAACCCACAACAGCCCGGGAGAGACACAAAGTGTATGTGCACACACTGGAATATTCTCCAGCCGAGAGAAGCAACAAGGTGTTGACGCGTGCTATGTACCTCAAAAACGTGTCTGGTGAAAGAAGCCAGCTCGAGAGCACAGATATTGTGAGACATTCAGCATCGCCAGATTCCAAAATCAGACGGTAACCTCCAGGCTGCAACGTTTGGGAAGCGGGACAAGGGGAGGGAGGGACAGCTGGATGGAAAGGGGGTTTTCTCTGGGAAGGGGGGTTCTGCCCACGCAGGGGTGATGGCCGTGCCAGAGCGTGAGTGCGCCCCGTGCCACACCATCTGCTTCCAGGCGGTGGGGGCGGCACACTTCACGCTGCGTGCATTTTGCCCCGATACACACGGCAGAGAGCACAGGGCTGGCCTTCAGGCCCCTGGTGACCTGGCCGACCGACACGGCTCCCTGGGCCTGCCTGCCTCCCTCCCTGGCTGGCTCCAGTCCTCTCCTCTGAGCCTCTGCCCTGGCCCCTGTGACTCAGGCTGTGCCTCCAGTGGCCCGGGTCTGGGCTGCAGGCCGCCCATGGGCAGTTCAGGTGCTGCGGATGGAAGCTGGCTGGCCGTGCACTCCCCTCACCCCAGCCCCCGTGGGGACCAACGTGGGCCCAGGTGCCAGATAGGACTGGAGCCCCCGCCTTCCAGACGGCGCGAAGCACTTCCCCTCCCTGCCCATGCTCCTGCTCGGGCTCGGGGGCTCCTCTGAAGTGAGTCCCATCTGCCCCAAACGCTGGCTCCCCAGACCCCACCCCACCAGCCAGACCCCTAACCCCTGGCGACAGACCTACAGAGAAGCCAACACAACCTACACTCCAGGCATCGTACTTCACTCCTTCTCACTTGCTACAGAGGTTGCTTGACCGTTCCAGAAAAATCCTGCTAAGTTAGGCCCCCAGTGCTGTTCTTTGTTTTATAACAGTAACCTCTTCAAATTTCGAAAGGTCATCTGGCACATTTCTGCAGGCAGGCCCAGAGACTGAACCACCTTCTGCTCCAAGCCTAGGGCTCTGTGCTCAGAGGGAGTTCCTGTTGTTCCTGGCCTGAAGCTCAGCCCTCTACCTGCCCCAGCTGATCTGCGCAGGACGCCGGCACAGGGCGGGAGAGCGGACAGGGCCCTCGGGTCACACAGGAGCCCAATCTGCTCTGAACATGACATGACCTCTCTGAGAGCCTCCACAGAAGGCACAGCCCTATAAACAAACTCAGGGGCTGCATCTTATCTAAAAGGGGAACAAACAATGATCCACATGGCTTTCTGAGACCTGCGACGGAGCTGTGAGCAGGTCAGGCTGACGTGGGGGCTGGGCCGCTGCTGGGGCCCGCGCCGCTGCTGGGGCCCGCCAAGGACCATGGGCGACCAAGCACAAACTTCCCGGCAGAGGCCAAGGTCCCCATATGCCTGGATTTCCGTGGAGGCAGCAGCCTCTCTCCGGGAGCACAACCTGGGACACACGAGGAGGGCTCTGGGTGTGAAATGAACCCTCAGGTCTGAAAGCAAGACTGGATGGGTCTCTCAGGCCGCCGGGTCAGCCCAGTCCTCAGCAGGTCCCGGCTCTCCCAGCAGGGACCTGGAGCCTCCCGGCCTCGCACAGGCACCATGCTCCTCAACACGGGCATGCTGCTCGGCCCCTGAGAGCGCCAGGCCAGGCCTCCCAGATGGCGGGGGCACCCCGAGTTTACCGGCCTCGCCGACGAACACCTCCACGGGCGCGCTGCTGGGCTCTCGCCGATGATGTTGTAGGCCGTCAGGATGACCTCATGACACCGGTGTTTCTCAGAGCTACAGGTGGAAAGAGACAGGGGTCAGCTGGCCCGGGAACACCTCGTTCTTCCCACTCCTTGAACATTTAGCTTTGCTGGGCCCTTGTAAGTCTTACCTTCCCTGGTGTCCTCGGTGAAATCCCTTTTCCCTGACAACCTATCTCAAATGGCTCCTCCTCCGTGAAGCCTCCCCTGATTGCCACACTGGGTGCAAGTCCCCAAAGCCCAGGAGCTCTCCATGGGCCACCCCTCTCCGTGCACACCTGGGCTGCCACAGAGACCTGTCCACCCCAGTGGCTGTGCCCCCTGGAGGTGAGCCCCATCTCCTCTGGCCCTCCACGGCATCTCCCACAATGCCTTGCACAGAGAGAACATGCACAACGGTTCCCCTCCTGGGTGCTCAGGGCGGCGCCTGTGTCAGGACAGGGAAGTGTCTCACCTGGGAGCTCAGCCCATAAAGCCGAAGTGGTTTTGAGCATCTTGGCTGAGGATACCTCTGACTCCAGCTCCCAGTAGTAGATCTGGTTTTCCTGAAGAAGGCTGTTCAGGCTCTCATCTCTTGGAGGCTGCAAATACATCAAGGTCAGCCCGCCCACGGGGTCTCAAGACCTCCGCTTCAAGTTGAATCAGCCAACTGCACTGGAGGAAGTCACTAATTCAAACAGGGGTTCTTGGTTGTTTACAGACAAAAAGGTAGGTGCCACATTCATGAAGAGGAGCACAGGGGCCCCCAGGTAGAGGATCAGACCCCGAGAGCCCGGGTTTCCTGATGCCGGTGTGTGGTATGTGGACACTGAGCATCTTATCCCAAATACTTGAAGGACCCCAGGCTAAGGCGGGGACTACGGCCCAGGTAGCAGGTGGGTGACGACGCTGCCCAATGCCTAGTGAACCCAGAACTCTAAGGGAACTATGCATGTGGGCTGGTTCTGGATCATCTACTGGCTGGCCACACCCTGTCCCTGACAGCCACCCAGGTTCGTGGCCGACTCACTGCGTGGGGGGGGGGGGGGCAGTAAGTGCTCTGCATGCCAGATCACCCCTATTCTGCCCTGACTCAGACCTAAGCTGGAAGCCCCGTGGTCCCTCCAATGTCAGGTGGCATAGGAAGGGCCTAGGGTAGGGCAGGTGCTCATTCGACGTTTCGACACCCTGTGGAACGTGAATGGTGGCAGCCAGGCCATGAATCTCAGAATTTAACCCACACCAGGATGCACACAGGGATGCCCAGCTCACATTCTCCCTCCCGTCAATTTGTTGGTTAATTAGTCTGGGGAGGGCTGCAGCAGCCAGAGTGCAGGCCAGGGGGACAGGGGCTCTGGGTCCTGGGTCTCCTCTGGAATACTCAGCAAATAAGGACAAGAACTGCTCAAGCTGTGACCAGACAGATGGACAAAGGGCACGCCCAGGACCCCTGGCCACAGAAGGGTGGTGAAGCTTGTCCAGAAACAGGGATACACGCCGAATTCCCCGTGATGCCTACACAGCCACTGTCTATAGGACGTCACCAGCATCTTAGGAAACGCTGTCCTGGTCCCAGAGTACAGGCCACAGTTTTGTTGTAGGAAAACTCCTTTGTCGTGGGTTGAACCGTGTCCTCCTAAAAGATACGTTGGTGTCCTTACCCCCGTGACCTATGGATGCCAGCTTATATGGGCACAGGGTTTTGCAGACCTTGCAGTTAAGAGCAAGTCACGGTGCAGTAGGAAGCACTCTAATCCAGGGACTGGTTTCTTTTTTGGAAGGCAATTTGGTTTTATCTATCAAGGTTTTCAATGCACTTGCCTTTTAACCCAACAATTACATTTCTAGAAATCTACATGACATAAATGCATATATAGAGCCCTGGGTCCTACAAATACAAGCTAAACCTACCGATGCCCCCCAAACCCCAAAACAAAGTATCTAGGGGTCTTTTCAATGACACCTAAAGTCAAGAGGACCACCTTCGGGCGCCTGGGTGGCTCAGTCGTTAAGCGTCTGCCTTCGGCTCAGGTCCTGATCCCAGAGTCCTGGGATCGAGTCCCACATCAGGCTCCCTGCTTGGCAGGAAGCCTGCTTCTCCCTCTCCCACTCCCCCTGCTTGTGTTCCTGCTCTCGCTATCTCTCTGTCAAATAAATAAATAAAATCTTTAAAAAAAAAAAAAAAAAAAAGAGGACCACCTTCCAGCTTGAAGGTCACTAACAGCAAAGCTGCTTGCAAATGTAACTGCAAAGTCTGGACAGATGAGCATGAGCAAGGTATCATAATACCTAATTCACACGGCAAGCCCAAGTGTTCCACATGATCAGTTGCTGAACGTGAAGAAAGGCATATTTTGAGAAGCAATTTAGGATTCAGCAATCATTTGACAAATACTGAGGCAATAAGGAGATCCAAACATCCTTAGAAGAGGAGAGAGATTGCACATTGGCCCCTGGGAGGGCGTCCTGTGAGCACAGAAGCAGAGACTGGAGCCATGTTTGCAATGTTGTGACTTGTAAGAAGAATATCTATTTAGCCATTCGGATCAGAAAACTTGTTTCTCATATACATGTCTTTGTCCAGAGTGACAAAGGTGTCGTGTCATGTTAATGAGGATGTGGGCTGGTCACCAGGACAACCAACCTTGTGATCAGAGGGTTGGAACTTTTGGTCCCACCCATGACTTCTGAGGACGGGAGAGGGGCTGGAGGTTCAATCGATGGCCAATGGCCAATGCTTTCATCAGTCTAGCCTGTGGAATGAAGCCTCCACAAAAACCCTAGAGGACAGGTTCGGCCTGATGTGTGGAAGTAGAGAGAGCAATGGGCTGCAATGCCTGGAAGGTGGCCAGAACATGGCAAGAGCTCAGTGCACACCGGCCTCTTTTGCCTTCTATCTTTGGTAGGCTTCGGATCGGCCCTTTGGATTGTTTTTCATGCACTCTGGGTTCAACCCCTGCCTCACTTAAACCATCTGCTCTAGATCTTGTCCTAGAGTGATCACACGCGGGGACACCGGCTCACACTCTGAGCAAGGCCATGGCACCACGTGGACAGTGCTGGCCCTCGGGTGCTTCCCAAGTGCCACCAGGTGGGCGCCAGGGAACAGAGAGGGGAAGGGCCTTGCCTAAGGTAACACAGCTCCAGAGCCTGGCACTAGGCACGCCCAGACAGGAAGTAGGACAAGTCATCTCTCCGAGCACACCCGTCGGCTCTGCGTGCAAGTGACTTCCTGTCGTCTTCTTCCCTCAGACCTCTGGGCCTGGCCCTGACCTCCACACCTGGACTTGGGGTGGCCTTGGTTAGGGAGCCTGCTGAGGCAGATTCCAGAGTGAGGCTGAAGGGCACGTCAGGGGCTTGTCGAGATGGGAACTCACAGAAGATTGGTGTGGGAAGAGGGGGTCTGGGGGGTGTGTGGAGGGTGTTCACATCACTTCCCCACAGCTGCGTCCCCGGCAACTGACTGAATCTGTCTGGGCCCCCACTTCTTCTGTAGAACTGGAGCTCACAGTGCTTTGTTCCCCAGGCTTTGGTGAGGATAAACCAAGACAATGTACAATAAGCACCTTGCCAGTGTTTGGGACAGAAGCGGCGTCCATGAAGACAGATCTCCCGAGGACTGCTCCACAGGAAACTTTACTGAGCACCTGCTCAGCTGGGCACGTGGTTTTGAACATCAGAGACCAAGTGCCTGGCTTCAGGGAGCTGCCTTCCAACACGGTGACTCAGAGCCACCCTGGGCCAGTTACACAACCTCTCTGAGCCCAGTCTCCAGCATTAAACCGGGGACATTCCTGCCTGGCTGATAAACGTCAGGCTATGTAGACATGCGACAGTACAGGGCCTGACCTGGAAGCCGTTTACCCTGCAAGTACCCGGCTCCGTTTCCTGCCCAGCTCTCCTCCCCATAGCACCACGACAGTGGACTTGGGCCTCGGGCCTTACCTCTCTTCTCAGTGGTGATGACGGGGCCCTCCAGCGGTTCGCCCAGCCCTGCCTCGTCTTGGCCGGCAGCCTGAAGATGTATGCCGACTCTGGGGCCAGCTCGGTGCCCGTGAACTGCCTCACCGTGGCACCCACCTCCACCGTGGTGAACGTACTGGGGCTGCTACCGGCCAGGCGGTGGCGATCTGGTACCCTGCGGGGGGGACAGGAGGGCCATGCGTCAGTGACATCACCCTCAAATGGCACAGAAAACCTTCCTCCAGCCCCTCAAATGGCACGGAGTGACTTCCCCTCTCTGTTCTGCTCACCACGTATTTGTTGACAGGCCACACGCCTTGATGGGAACCTGGGCCCCTGGACACCGGGACTGCATCTATCTTGGCCTCCCCCCAAAGCCCTTGCCTTGCCCAGGGCAGGCACTCAGGAAAGATGACATGAATGGAGGGGCAGGGTTTCAGGGTCCCGCCAACACTGGTGAAGGATTCTCTTCTCTCAGCGGGGCCTGATTTTCAGGTTTCACAATAATGACTTGGCCATTTTCGAACACGGACAGGGATCAAATGATCATTCTGTAATCCCCCCAGCAATGCAAAGCGGCTTGCAGCAGTGTGTCCCTCCACTGGCTTCAGGCCCCTGCTGGTGAGATGATCTTGTTCCAGGTCTCACTAATTTCACCCCAGGGCGCACGATCTACCCACAGCTCACAGCCAGATGCTATGGGTGTGACCGGGCTACCGTGCAAAGAGAGATGTTCTGTCCCCTTCTATGACCTCCCCTAGCACAGGGTAAATGCCAACCAGAAAGCCATCATGTGAGGCACTGAGCCTGCGTACCCCTTTATTTTTTAACACCAATTAGGAAATTACCAGAGGATCCCGGACACAGGATTCTGACTAGAATTTTACAAATATAACAGGTTTCAGGCCACGCCATTTGTTCCATTTGGCGTTTTTGTGACAGGCACCACCCAGGCCAAGATGTGGGGCATTGGCGGGTCCCCTGTGACAGGCGGCACGAACACAAGTGGGCAGTGGGAGGGAACGACAGCTATTGCAGAGCAGGTGCGCCCATGGAGCACAGCCTGGGGTCCCCCTCGGTCAGCAATCACACAGCCCTCCTGCTCCCCTTCTGCAAGCCACTCACCTCGTTCTCGCTGAAAACAGTCACACTGAGGCTATTCAAAACCACGATTTCTAGTTGGCTAAACAGAGGGTCGTACGCCTAGCAGTGCCTTCTGGGAATCTGCAGAAGGGAAGAATGAGTTCTATCAATGCAACGATCTGTGTGCAGACCGTGTGCAAGACCAAAGGAGGGAGTGATCAAGAAGAATCCAAAGATGTGCCTGGCACTTTTCCAAAAAGAGAAGCAAAAATGTGAGCTGGTGTCTAGCTAGGACTCAGGTGGCAAAGTTCCCAATGCCATAACATACACACTTCAAATGGCAGGTTCCTGGGACTAGGGACTCCCCTGGGATGGAGCCAGGAGTCGCAGCAGACTCATCTGACGAGGAGTTAAGATGCAGTTTTCCAAGGGCTTCTGAAAGAGTCCCCTCAGGGGCCTTCAGTTGTTCCAGATGTTTTGAAAGACAGCCACTGATGGTTTCTGAAAGAGCAGGCCCCTGAACACAGTGAGAGGGCGTGCTCTGACACTGTGAACCAGATCCTTCACTGAAGTCCACAGACCCAGGGAGAAAAGGGGCAAGTCGGGAAAGGCTTCAGCTCCTCAGGGAGAAGGCCACGGGCCTCACTCCCAAACATGCCTGGGAGGTACGGCTAGGCCCACCAGCACCACAGGCTGTCCCGGGTCCTTTCATGTCACCTGCCCCCCACCCCATGCCTGCAACCCCTGAGAATGTTCCAGCAAAAAATAGGCTTCATTTATGGGCACAGTTTCCACCCAGAACTGTAATGTGAACTGTGTCTAATTCAGTAGGAGGTAACCTGGTTAATGCGGGTTATGCTCTGAAGTATCTACTTTTTGATTATAACAAAGAACAGAGGAACAGAGCTCTCAAAATCACACTGTAAAAGTCTGGGAATAGGAATATTTAATGTCAAAAGTTCAAAGAAAAATAAGGCTGGGGCTCTTGGAGTCTAACAAAATACAGTCGTTTAAATCTTCTCACACGGCAGTGGGTTCTCTTATCTTTCATTTCATTATACTGACACTGAATTTATTTGAACAAATCTGTACACAAAACAAAAAGCTAAAGACCCTACAACCCCCCAATAAGACACTGATTTTCACTTACCAGCCAAGCTATCTTTAAATAAGACCCCTGGCTCGGAAAGGCTGCATGTAAAACTGGCTCTTTCAGTCCGTGCTGCTGGAAGTCCTGCTGGAAGCTTTTTGGGAGAAACTTGACAGCACATATCAGGCTGGTCACTGCCTGTCACTGAAGAAGTCCACTTCTGGGAAATGTCCTGAGAGGATCATCCTGTACTTGGTAAGAGCTTTACGCATAAAGGTGCTCACGAAAGGTCATATGGAAGAACTAAAAAGACAAAGGAAACAAACTAAAGGCCCCTCAATAAAAATTCTAACTGCTCTACATTCCCTCCCCGTATTGTCATTTAATCCTCAAATAATCCCTTTCACAGATATAGAAACTGAGGCTCAGGGCTAGGAAGTGCTAAGATACACAGCTGTGAGCAGGAAGTCAGAATTAGAACCTAGCTCTGTGAAGGAAAATATCACCAAATATGGACTGGACTCCTTTCTTTGTCCACATTCAGGCCCTCCTCCTGCACCCTCCACCCCCAGCCCTGGCCATCTGGTACCTACCTAGTACCAGACTCCATAATTCAGACAGAAGCAGGTCCTTCCTGTTAAGAGAAAAAGGCATGGTCATCTCCCAACCTTCTCCAGGCCGCCCCCTCAGTGACCCTGCCCCTGACCATGAGCTGGATGCGGGGAGGATGGATCGCCCTCACAGACAGGGCACACAGCGCCTGCCCTGGAGTGGCAGGAGCAGGGTCCAGAGTGCGCATGTCCAGAGCCAGCGTGGTATGGCCGGCACTCAGAGAGGGCAGAAGGGTTGCTAGAGGACGTCCTGATTCCCAAGGACCCCTCTGGTCTCTTCTGTATCTTTGGCCTATACCACGGCCTGGCACAGAGGCCGAGCTCCATGGATAGTTACTAGACACACAGACTGAGCCTCTCTGAGCTTTAGTTTCCTCACCTCTAGAATGGGGAAAAGGATTGTCCCTATCACGCTCGGTTACAGAAGGAATCAAGTGGGTCAACACACATCAATGGCCTCACCGACAGCAGGGACTCAATAAACAGTCTTTGTTATTACAAATAACTCCAAGGTGAAAGTAAAAGGAGAGACAAATCCAGGGTCTGGACTTTCTTTATTCAAGTCAACTGGCTTATGCAAACCCAGAGCAGAACACGGTGGACAGTGACTTAAAACGAATCCGGTGAAATGTCCAATCAAAGGACATACAGTGGCTGGAAACACAACACCCATCCATGTGCCTAAGGATAACACAGACCAAAAGTAATGGGACAGAAAAGATGTTCTGCGCAAGTGGGATCCAAGAGAGAGCTGGAAGGGCTATAATCAGACAAAATAGAATTCAATGCTGTTTAAACACATACCAACATTTGTGAGAGGCACCAAAAGTGGTTCTAAGAGGGAAGGTTAGAGCGATACAGGCCTGCCTCAAGAAGGAAGAGAAATCTCAAACACACACCCTAATGTGACACCTTGTGACCTAGAAAAAGAAGAACAGAGCCCAAAGTCAGTAGGAGGAGGGAAACAACAAAGATCAGAACAGAAATAAATGAAAGAGGGACTAAAAAAAAAAGAGGAAAGATAGGGTGCCTGGGTGGCTCAGTTGATTAAGCATCCGAATGATGATTTCTGCTCAGGTCATGACCTCAGGGAATTGATACCAAGCCCCGTGTCAGGATCTGTGCTCAGTGTGGAGTCAACTTGGGATTCTCTCTCCCTCTGCCTCTCCTCTTGTGCACTCTCTCTCAAATCAATCAATCAATCAATCAATCTAAAAAATATATATAAAACAAAATTGACACAACTTTAGCTACACACACCAAGAAAGAAAAAGAGGGGAGTAAAATCAGAAATGACAGTAGAGATATTACAATGGACACCACCAAAACAAAGCCTCAAAGGGACTACTGTGAACAATTTGGACAACCTCAAAGAATCAGCAATTTATTTATTTATATTTATGTTTCAAATTTTTATTTAAATTCTAGTTCATTGTGGCGCCCGATGGCTCAGTCGGTTGAGCGTCTGACTCTTGGTTTCGGCTCAGGTTGTGATCTTAGGGTCATGTGACTGAGCCCCACGTCAGGCTCCAGGCTCAGCATGGAGTCTTCATGAGACTCTCTCTCTCCTCCTCTCCCTCTGTCCCTCCCACTCGTGCTGCCTGTCTGTCCCTCTCTCTCATATAAATAAAATCTTAAGGGCTCCTGGGTGGCTCAGTTATTAAGCGTCTGCTTTCAGTTCAGGTCATGATCCCAAGGTCTTGGGATTGAGCCCCGCATTGGGCTCCCTGCTCTGCGGGAAGCCTGCTTGTCCCTCTCCCACTCCCCCTGTTTGTGTTCCCTTTCTCACCGTGTCTCTGTCAAATAAATAAAATTTAAAAAAATAATAAAAAATAAAAACAAAAATAATAAATAAGTAAATTAAAGTAAATAATTCTAATTAGTGATATACACAGTATAACATTAGTTTCAGGAGTAGAATTTAGTGACTCAACACTTACATAAAGCACCTAGTGCTCATTGTATCAGCAATTTAAAACCTCCCAAAAACCAAGTTCCAGGACTAAATGCCTTTAATGGTGAATCCTACCATTCAGGGAAGAATTCATACAATCCTTCTCAAACTTTTCCAAAAAACAGAAGAGAAAGCTTGTAAGCTCATTTCCTGAGGCCAACATTACCCTGATACCAAATCCAGACAATGACACTCCAAGGAAAGAGAATTACAGGCCAATATCCCTGATGAACATAGAGGCAAAAATGTTCAACAAAATACTAGCAAACCAAGATCACCACTATGCTGAAAGGATCATATATTATGATCAAGTGGGATTTGTTCCAGGAATGGAAGGAGGGTTCACACATGCACATCAATCAAAGTGATCCAACACATTAACAAAATGAAGAATAAAAATCATGTGATCATCTTGAGAGATGCAGAGAAAGCATTTGACAAAACTTAGTATCCATTTATGATCAAAATTCTCAACAGAGTGGGTAGACCGGGAACATACCTCAACATGATAAAGGCCACATATGACAAGCCCACAGATAACATTATATCCAATAGCGAAAAGTTTCAGCTGTTCTTTTTTCCTCTAAGATCCTCTATGTTAGGAACTTTCCTGATCTTTCCTCGCCACTTTTATTCAACATAGTATTGGAAATCCTAGGCAGAGCAATTATGCAAGAAAAATAAACAAAAGGCATCTAAATTGGAAAGAAACAAGAAAAACTGTCACTATTTGCAGATGACATAGTATATAAGGAAAACAAAGACTCCACAGAAAAACTGTTTGAACTAATGACTGAATTCAGTAAGGGTATAGGATACAATATCAATACACAAAAATCTGTTGTGTGTCTATACACTAATAACAAATTATCAGAAAAAGAAATTAGGAAGATGATCCCAGCTGAAGTTGCATCAAAAAGAATAGAATACCCAGGAAGAAACTTCACCAAGAGGTGAAAACCTATATACTGAAAACTATAAGACGTTAAGGAAAGAAACTGAAGACAACGCACGTAAATGGAAAGACATTCCTTGCTCAAGGATTAGAAGAATTAATAGTGTTAAAATCTCCATACTTCCCCAAACTATCTACAGATTCACTGTACTTCCTATCAAAATTCTAATTCCATTTTTCACACAAATAGAACAAAGGATCCAAAAATTTGTATGAAGCCACAGAAGGCTGAATAGCCAGACCAATCTAGAGAAAGAAGAACAATGCTAAAGGCTGCACACTCGCTGATTTCAGACTATTACAAAGCTAGAGCAATCAAAACAATCTAGTATTGGCATAAAAACAAACACACAGATCACCAGAACAGAAGGGAGAGCCCAGAAGGAAACCCAAACATCTATGGTCCAGTACCTATGACCAAGGAGCCAAGAATATACAAGGGGGAAAGAACAGTCTCTTTAATCAATGGTGCTGGGAAAACTGGACAGCCACAAGCAAAAGAATGAAACTGCACCATTATCTTACGCCATACGCAACAATTAACTCAAAATGGATTCAAGACTTGAATATAAGAATTGAAACCATAAAACTCTTAGCAGAAAACATAGAGAAAAGCTACTTGACATAGCTCTTGATAGTGACTTTTTAACCTAATACCAAAAGTAAAAACAATTAAAAAAATGTGGGACTACATCAAACTAAAAAGCTTCCAAACAGCAAAGGAAACTATCAACAAAATAAAAACGCAACCTACTGAATGAGAAAACATTTGCAAATCATATATCTGATAAGGGGTTATTATCCAAAATATAAAGAGCTCATGCAACTCAAAAGCAAAACAAAACAAAACCACAAAACCAAACAAACAAAAAACCCACAAGCAATCTAATGTAAAAATGGGCATATCCAAATAGACATTTTTCTAAAGACATACAGATGGTCAACACGAACATGAAAAGATGCTCAACATCATTAATCATCACGGAAATGCAAATCAAAACCACAATGAGATACCACTTCACACCTGTTACAATGGCCATTATCAAACAGACAAGAAATAACAAGTTTTGGTGAAGATGTGAAGAAGAGGAAAACCCTTGTGCATTGTTGCTGGGAGTACAAATTGGTGCAGCCACTATGGAAAACAGTACAGAAGTGCCTCAAAAAAATTAAAAAGAGAACTACCATAGGATCCAGCAATTCCCCTTCTGAGTATTTATCTGAAGAAAATGAAAACACTAACTGAAACAGGTATATGCACCCCGTGTTCACGGCAGGATTATGTACAACAATGAAAATACAGAAACAACTTAAGTGCCCATCAGTGGCTGAATGGAGAAAGAAATTGTCGTAGATACACACAGTGGAATACTACTCAGCCATAATAAAGAATGAAATCTTTCCACTTGCCATTTCGATGGAACTTGAAGGCATTCTGCTAAGTAAAATAGGCCAGACAGAGAAAGACAAATACTATAAATCACTTACTTGTGGAACCTTAAAACAAAGAAAACAAAAACAAAAAACTGAGCTCCTAGAGAGGACAAATGGGTGACTGCCAGAGGTAGGGAGTTGGAGGTGGGAGAAATGGGTGAAGGGGGCAAAAGGAAAAAGAAAACAAGCCCAATTATACCATCTTTTTTTTTTTTTAATTAATTAAGCTGTATCTCCAATGTGGCTCATACTCACAACTGTGAGATCAAGAGTCTCATACTCCACTGACCGAGCCAGCTGGGTGACCTGAATTATAGCATCTTCCAATGCTCGTTTTGAGAAAGGCTAAAGTAATTTAATCTATGATATTTTGAGGGCTATGTATATATTTGGTAAACTTAGAAAGAACACAGACTTCAGAGACACACTCAGGTCTGTATCTGGTTCTAATATTTACTATGACATTGAGCAAGTTACTTCTTTTTTGACTACTTTATTTATCTGAGATAGAGGCCGACAGAGAGTTGGGCACAGGTTGGGGGGGACAGAGGGAGAAGAAGACTCCCCGCTGGGCAGGGAACCCAACATGGGGCTCAATCTCAGGACCCTGGGGTTACGACCTGAGCAAAAAGCAGAAGCTTAACCAACTGAGCCATCCAGCGGCCCCTACTTCACCTCCCTTGTGCCTGTGTTTCCCCAACTCTGAGGATAATATGAAAATTTACTTTTAGGGTAGCTTTTAT